ATTAACCATGTGGTATTCATGGCTGAAACGAACACAACAATGAGAACCAAAAACGGTTAAGGATTGATGTGTGACTCATAATTGTCTAGGTATATACCAAAGCTCGATGGTTCAAAGATATCAAATCTACCAATTGATCGAGTATATCCGACATATGTTCACTACGGAAAGTTCAAAGGGAAACCTACTTATGTAGATGCGATGAACCCTTACTTGCGAATCACACAAGGTTTTTGCATGTTTTTTTAAACATATTACCATTCCTCATTCATGTGGGGGATTGTTAGGTTTTGTGAATGGGAAATGGAAGAGGTACCTTTTGAATTGCACCTCTTTATCTCACCCTTTCATTGTCTATAAATTCAGAGGCTTAGCCTCATTTTTAAAATATGGAAAATCTGAAAACTTATCCCCTCTTTTCTACATTGTTGCATTATTTTTTAATTAAATATAAGTGTCAAGTATGATTTGCTTTATTTTCTGAGTTGGCTGAAGATCTGTGTTTTGTAGTGCCGCTATCACAGAATAGTTATTTCCTTCTATCTTGGGAGGAATTAATCTATAACCTTGGGCAACAGTGATGGGATTAGATTCCTTAAATAAACACAAGCAACTTATGGGCTCAAAATTATTTTATGTTTTGTTTATTGAACTAATATTTTTTCCATCTTTGATTTTCTGATTTTGAACACAGATTACCAACAAAAGGTCACATAACTAAAATAACATTTATAATAAACGAAAAAACTAAATCTCTTGTTTGTTACGTGCAATTCTGACTTTCATTTTGTTCATAATTTTGATTTTTTAAAGTACAAAATAACAAACCTATTATATTCTGCCGCAATATTTTCCATTCTTAATTCATTCTTTTACGTCAAAAACTATTGGTTTAAAACCCATGATGCATCTTTTTCGGAAAGCAGGACTAAAAATTAAACCAATTATCTCAATACAAAACCAAAGAATAAATATCTCTATTTTACATTATTCGGTTTTACTAAATATCGAGTAGGTGCTGGGAATTAACGTATGTAACTTTGTTTTTTGAAAAGTAAAGAAAAACATCAGTTTGAACTGCAAATACATGATTACCATACTCCTTTAATTTCGTAACAATAACTTGTAGAAGAGTAGTGAGCTAGTGCAAGCTGTGGCTATAGAATACTGTTATATTAAGTTGTATTATTTGTATAGTCAGTTAGCTAGTTAGGATGTTAACACTGTAGAAAGGCGGTTAGCTCTACTGTAGCTGTTAGTGTATAAATAGCTCTTATATAAATACATTTCATTTTTAAGAAGAAAATAATGGAAGTTCTTCACTTCTCTTAGAATTTCTCTCTCTAAACTCCTCTCGTTTTCTTCCCCATTCATCCTCACAACTGAAGCTTCCAGCTATGGATGTTATCATGGTATCAGAGCCAGCGTCGCGAGTCTACGGCCACTGAATACTTTCAATTCCCCTCAACTTTGGAATTAAATCATCTGTACTTGCGTTGGGTTCAAAACTAGGGTTTTGTAATTTGAACTAATTCTCTGCAAATCAGAGCAATTGTGCAATATCTCTAAGCTTATCTACAATTTCCATGGCAATTGGCGAGGAAATCAGTACCATACCAGTCGGACCAACCACAGGAACTTCTGACGATACAGTTGTTCATATTCGTGGAAATGTATTCCCTACAATTGATCATTACCATCATCTAACCTATAACCAACTGACACTCCAGGTAGCTCCTTAATCTCTCTTCAGTTAACTGGATCTGAGAACTATGCCATTTGGAGTAGATCTATGAGAATTGTATTGTTAGGTAAAAGCAAACTAGGTTTTGCTGATGGTAGATTCCCTAAGTCTAGGTTTGAGCCGTAATTACATGATCAATGGGAAAAGGTAAATGCTATAGTGTTGTCCTGGATCATGAATGCTATAAGACCAGGATTGTTAAGCAGTTTAGTGTATGCTTCAAATGTACATAAAGTATGGGAGAATTTGAAAGAAAGGTTTGATAAAGTGAATGGTGATAGGGTGCAAAATCTGCATAAAGAGATTCACTCTCTTACTCAAGGAACAATGACGGTTACAGACTACATCTCTAAACTCAGAGACCTTTGGGATGAGTTTGATGCTATAATGTCATGTCCTAGTTGCCCCTGTCCTGAGGCAAGGAAGTATCTATAGCACTTTGAGTACCAAAGATTAATGCAGTTCCTAACATGTTTAAATGAGTCTTACAGCCAAGAAGGGAGTCATATCACAATGATGTATCCCACACTATCTGTAAACAAGGCATACTCCATGATCATAGATAAAGAGAGCCAAAGAAACCTTGCTAATTTCACACAAGTCTCACAGGTTACTGAGTCAATAGAAAGCACCGCCTTGGTCAGCAATAAGGGAGGAAACTATGCTGGCACCAATTTCAAACCTGGACCAAAAAGAAATATACATGCGTATGAGTACTGTCATATGAGGGGCCATACTAAGGAAAACTTCTATAAGCTAGTTGGATATCCACCAGATGTCAAGTCCAAAAGGAGAGCAGGAGCAACTGGAACTGGTAACTCCTATGCAAATCAAGATGGTTGGATGACACCTCTTACAGGAGATACAGCATGTGGAGTTAATGGTGCAGCCAAAAGTGTTGGAAAACGTGGGAAACAACCACCTATTAGGGGAGGTTTCACCTCTATGGCATCACCAGCATCTCGGCAACAAGTTCATGCTGCCTTCTTCACACCAGAGCAGTATCAACAAATCATTCAAATGCTCAACATGGGATCAGATGAAGGATCCTCAACCAAGTCAACAACTGCAGGTACAGAAACAGATCTTATGTCTATCTATAGTGATAGAGAATGGATTTTGGATACGGGTGCATCCAACCATATGGCCTCTAGCTTATAAATGCTAAAGGCATACAGATTAGTACCAAAACCAGATAGAAGCAATGTGCATCTACCTATAGGAGGTGTAGTATCAGCTACACACAGAGGATTGGCCTTTGTGTTTAAGAACCAAGACATATCTAATGTGTTGTACATACCCGAGTTTAAGTTCAATCTTCTCTCAGTATCCAAACTCACTAAAGAACTGAAATGCTTGGTAATGTTCTTTCTTGACTTCTGCATATTCCAGGACCTCTTCAATGGACAGGTGAAGGGGATTGGTAGGGAGAAACATGGACTATATGTGTTGCAGGAGAAGCAAGTGAAGACCTCATATGAGGATTCTAGACAACAGGTGAATAATAACACCAGCACAGTTTCTATGTATAAGACTAGTCATGCTTACATGTCTGCTATATCAGATTCTAGTAGCCTATGGCATAAGAGACTAGGTCATGCACCATTAGAAGTAATAAAGAAGCATGAGTTTCTTAGACATTTGAAATCTGATACGCATCAACATTGTATTGTTTGTCCCCTTGCAAAACAAACAAAGTTGCCTTTTTAGCTGAGTAATATTGTGTCTACCTCTGTTTTTGATTTACTACATTGTAATATTTGGGAACCCTACAGAGTTCCTACCTATGATGGCAAAAGATTTTTTGTTAATATAGTAGATGACTACACTAGGTTCACTTGGATATTTCTCCTCCACTCAAAGTCTGATACTATAGTAGTTCTTAGGGAATTTTTTGCTAAGATTAAAAACATTTTCAGTGCTTCTGTTAAGATACTCAGAATAGACAATGGGAGTGAGTTCTTCAGCACTGACTTCAAGGAATTCCTATCTATATATGGGATTTAACATCAAAGTACATGTGTGTATACTCCCCAGCAGAATGGAGTAGCAGAAAGGAAACACAGAACTATCCTTGAAATAGCCAGAGCATTGAGGTTCCAAGCAGGCATCCCTCTTAGATTTAGGGTGAATGTGTTAACACTGCTGTCTATCTACTGAACAGGCTACCATCAAGAGTCATCAACTTTAAATCCCCATTTGAGATGCTTTATTTGCATGCTCCCTCTCAGAGTCACCTAAAAGTATTTGGCTATCTCTGCTATGCAGATGTCCCTAAGTGCATGGATAAGTTTTCTTCTAAAGCCATCCTGGGATATTCTTTTACAGAAAAGGGATACAAACTATATGATCTACAAAACAAGACTCTCTTAGTAAGTAGAAATGTGGTGTTCAAAGAGGATATCTTTCTCTTCAAACATCTAAACTCTATAGGTACTCCTATATTTCTAGTTTTGGACCTGCTACCATCAGCTGAATCTATTGTAGAGATGTCTCAAACTCTCACAAATCAGCCTAGTCCTATAAATGATTCAACTGAGGGGGAGGTTTCATCATCTCCTCAGGTTCCTGAACAAGCTCATGTAGAAATCATCTCATATTCACCTACAGATGTTAGTCCTTTACCTGAACCATCCAACTCTATGGAGCTCAGAAGATCTAGCAGACTAAGCAAACCACCAGTGTGGCTACAAGATTATGTCACTAAACTAGTGGGCAACTCTTGTGCATATCCTATTTCTTCTTGTGTTACTTACTCACACCTGAAGCCATCTTATAAGCACATGGTGGCTCTTCACTTAGATGTATCTGAACCTAAGACCTTCAGAGAGGCTGTTTCTGATCCTCAATGGGTGCAGGCAATGAAGCAGGAAGTTGTAGCACTTGAAGATAATAACACTTGCTCTATTGTAGACTTCCCACCTAGCAAGAGTCCCATTGGATGCAAGTGGATATTCAAGGTTAAATATAGAGCCAGGCTAGTGGCCAAAGGATACAGCCAGAGAGAAGGTCTAGATTACACTAAGACCTTCTCCCCTGTGGCTAAGATGGTGACTATTAGGTCCATCATTGCTTTGGCTACCTCTAAGCGCTGGTTGATCTACCAAATGGATGTCCACAATGCATTCATCAGTAGTGATCTCCTTGAGGAAGTGTACATATTCCTGAATGTTTTGGCAGACAAGGGGAGATAGAGAATGTCTGCAAATTGCACAAATCACTATATGGACTTAAGCAGGCCCTAAGACAGTGGAACATGAAACTAACTAAAGCCCTGGTGAAGATGAGATTCAAGCAGAGTCACTTTGACTATTCTCTGTTCACTAAAAGAAAAAATAATGACATTGTGGTTGTCCTAGTGTATGTAGATGATTTACTCATCACTGGTACCAATCCCAATCAACTAAATGAGATAAGAAATTATCTGCAGACCAGGTTCAAGATAAAAGATCTTGGTGAGTTGAAGTTCTTCCTGGGGATTGAATTTGCAAGGTCTAAGGAAGGCATAAGGATGAATCAGAGGATGTATGGCATGGAATTAATCTCTGAATCTGGCCTAGGTGGAGCAAAACCTGTTGGAACCCCGCTTGAAATGAATCAGAAACAAACTTCAACAGAGTATGACAGCTGGATGAAAACAAATGCTGAGGATGAGATATTCAGGGATCCTAGTAGCTTTCAGAGGTTAGTTGGACGACTATTATATCTCACCATGACCAAACCTGACCTATCCTTTACAGTGCAAGTTCTCAGTCAATTCGTGCATTGTCCAAAGGTGTCACACATGAAAGTTACTCTCAGAGTGGTGAGGTACATCAAAGCTGAACTTGGACTTGGCCTGTTTATGCCTGCTAACAATACAAACAAACTTACAACCTATTGTGACTCAGATTGGGGAGCTTTCCTACAAATAAGAAGATCAGTCACTAGCTACTTAGTCAAGTTTGGGAGTGTCCTTGTATCATGGAAGTCTAAGAAACAGGCTATCTCCAGGAGCTCAGCATAAGCTGAATTCAGAAGCATGGCTACATGTGCAGCTGAAGTGACTTGGTTGATAGGGTTGTTTGAAGAACTTGGTGTGAAGCTAAAACTACCTGTTGATCTCTTATGTGACAGCAAGGTAGCTATTCCGATTGCTGCCAATCCAATCTTTCACGAGAGGACTAAACACATAGACATAGACTGTCATTTTGTGAGGGAAAAAATCCTACAAGAAGTTATGAGAACTGAGTATGTACCTACCAAAGAGCAACTAGCTGATCTGTTAACTAAAAGCTTGGGTAAGGTGCAACATGATTACCTACTGGGGAATCTTGGGCTAAAGAACTTGTTCAAGCCATCATCTTGAGGGGGAGTGTAGAAGAGTAGTGAGCTAGTGCAAGTTGTGGCTGTAGAATACTGTTATATTAAGCTTTATTATTTGTATAGTCAGTTAGTTAGTTAGGATGTTAATACTGTAGAAAGGCGGTTAACTCTACTATAGGTCTTAGTGTACAAATAGCTCTTGTACAGATACATTTTATTTTTCAGAAGAAAATAATGGAAGTTCTTCACTTCTCTCAGAATTTCTCTCTAAACTCCTCTTGTCTTCTTCCCCATTCATCTTCACAGCTGAAGCTTCCAGATATGGATGTTATCATAACTTTCCTTATGATTTGCAATATTACGTTTTTCTCTATTGTTTATTAGTTTTGATATACTTGTAACAATGTTTTATCTTATTTACATTAAGTGATGCAAAATAATTATAATCAATTGTGGTTTTACAGAGTTGTTAGTATTTGGAACTTGGAAGTTGTATTTGTTGTAGTTTTTACTCAACAATATGCAATAATAGCGAATGATAAATAGGTAAGATTGGACAATAGAAGGACGAAAGTGCAAATAAGTAATAAAAATTGGGACCAACATCTCATTTTACCTCTAAAATTTAAGATTTAGAGATTGAAGTACGACAAGTTATAAACAATATTTTTTTCTTTTCCACTGTAAAGACATCAAAATATCAAAAAAACAGTCATTATAATTTAGTGCAACAATAACAACTCAGTGAAATCTCACAAGTGAGGTCTGGGGAGGGTAGTGTGTACACAGACTTTACCCCTACTTCTAAGGAGTAGAGAAGTTGTTTCTAAATGACCCTCGGCACAATAAGATGAAACGAGACAGTGTAACAGTAACAACAAAGAAGTCATTATAATTTAGTAATTGCAATTAATGGACAGTAACAAATTAATCTTTTTGATTACACTATAAAAAAGAGTACTAATATTATCATTTCTCCAATTATTCTTTTGGTTTCGACCTCACCAAAAGTGCCATGACCCAAAATCTCACCTATCTTGATGGCGCCTATCCCAATACTAGGCAAGCCGACAATCTCAATAAACTACCATATCTTTTAAGTTTGAACAACATAATATTTAAATTCAGCGGAAGAAATCTCACAAATACAGATATAAACACTCCCAAAATCCGGTGTCACTGAGTACATGAACATCTAATATAAATACAAAGTCTGACACACAAAACATTGTCTGAAAGTATAAAACAATACAATAACTAAAAGAAAGAGAGTCAAGGTCAGTGGACTCGAGGCAGCTACCTTGATAGTCTCCAACTGATAGCACTCTCAGATCTTACGGTCGTCGTGTCCGAAAGCACCTAGATCTGCACACGAGGTGCAGAGTGTAGTATGAGTACAACCAACTCAATAAGTAATAAGACTAACCTCTGGGCTGAAAGTAGTGATGAGCTCCGCAGGTACAGTCCAGTATAAATAATGGTACAGAAATGTAGGCATGCTTTTAAGTTCAACAGTTAAACTCAGTACAAGTGAAAAATAGATCAATACTGTTTGATATGAGGAATATGACATCTCAGTGGAAAGACCTCATGTAATACTGGTCACTAATCATTCTGTCACTCAGTACTGTTTATGGACAATCCAGCCCATGGATATTCCATCCCATATATATACACATCGACTTACAATCAGTCACTCAGTACTGTATAAGGCCAATCCATCCCTGGGTAATTTATCCCCAAATGTAAATGATACGGACAAGATCCATGTCCGGGGAAAATTCATCACAATATAAATAAGTAAGGAAAGTCCATGCCTTGGGAAGTCCATCCCAAATATATAGTCATTTACGCTCACTAGGGGTGTGTACAGACTCCGGAGGTGCTCCTTCAACCCAAGCGTGATATAAAGCTGATATGTCCTGCTGCAGGCGGGCAACTCCTATCCNATATATATATATTATCCCCGATCCCATAAATATACTCACAATGGATTAACATGACTGAGTATGAAATATACATTTTTAAAACAATTGAATTCAACAGCAACACGACCCTGTGGGCCTCAAATTATCGGCACATAGCCTAATCATGATCTTTAATACGAGTCTCAGTTCAATCTCCTAACACGTGGAGAATATGCGAATAATAACATGGTTCTTAAATTTTACAACTTCACAGAATTTATTCAAGGCACAATTTCTATGGTGTGCATCCACACGCTCGTCAACTATCATATGCGTCACCTCCAAACAATTTATATAATACCAAATTCGAGAATTTATACCCTCAGAACCAAGTTTAGAAGTGTTACTTACCTCAAACTGTGTAATTTCTTACTCCGCTACGCCCTTGCCTCATGAATTGGTCTACGAAAGCCTCGAATCTAGTCATAATTAATTTGATTCAGTCAATACGATTTATTGCAATTAATTCCATATGAAAATACTAATTTTCCAACAAAATTCAAAATTTAACTCAAACATCTCCCGTGGGGCCCATGTCTTAGAACCTGACAAAAGTTACAAAATATGAATGCCCATTCAACCACGAGTCTAACCATATAAATTTTACCAAATTCCGACATCAACTCGACCTCCAAATCATCAAATCTTATTTCCAAATCCCTAGGTCCAAATTCCCGATTTACACCTCAAAAACACATAATCTAGTCGGATTATTCGATGATACTTCAATATTATGGAGTAGAAATGATTACAAGTGACTTACCTCAAGTTTCTCGTCAATTCTCTCTGAATATCTCCCTAAAAATTGTGCTTGAAAGTCCAAAAAATGGCAAAACTCGGAACCCCTTCGAAATGTATATTGTCTAGGGGTTCCGCAAATGCGACTCACTTAGCGGCTTATGCGGTTTGCCAAGGCCTCCACTGCCTCCTCTTCTGCATCTTCAAAGCCGCTTCTGCGGGGTCGCATTTGTGAGGCTCAGTCCGCTTCTGCGGAGCTTGCTCTTCTGTGCCCATCCATCCACATCTGCGATCACACAGGTGCGGAAATTCCCTCGCACCTGCGCTTGCCAAGCTCGCTTCCGCGAGCTCGCACCTACGAGCCAATTTCCACAGGTGTGATTGCATCAGTAGGCAGCAGCAAGTTTCAATTGTTCTAAGTCCAAATTTGATTCGTTAACCATCAGAAACTCACCCGAGACCCTCGGAACTAAAACATCATACGAACTTAGTCGAGCCTTTAAATCACGTCAAACAACTCTAAAACCACGAATTATACCCCAATTCAAGCCTAATGAACTTTGAAACTTCCAATTTCTACAAACGATACCGGAACCTATCAAATCATGTCCGATTGACCTCTAAGTTTGCACACAAGGCATAATGACATAACGGACCTATTCAAATTTTCAGAATCGGATTCCGACCCCGATATCAAAAAGTCAACCACCGGTCAAACTTCCCAAAAATTCAACTTTCGCCATTTCAAGCCTAATTCCACTATGGACCTCCAAATAATTTTCCGGGCACGTTCCTAAGTCCAAAATCACCATACAGAGCTATTGGAATCATCAGAATTCAATTCCAAGGTCATTTACACATAAGTCAACATCCGATCAACTTTTCCAACTTAAGTTTTCAATTATGAGACTAAGTGTCTCATTTCACTCCGAAATCCTTCCGGACCCGAACCAACTAACCCGGTAAATCATAAAACAATTGTAAAGCATAAATTGAGCAGTAAATGGGGGAAAAAGGTTATAATATTCAAAACGACCGGCCGGGTCATTACATTCTCCCCCCCTAAAACAAACGTTCGTCCTCGAACGGGTTTAGAATCATACTTGGAGTCTCAAATAGGTGTGGATATTTGTTCTGCATCTCTCGCTCAATCTCCCAAGTAGGTTCTCTGACTGGCTGGCCTCTCCATTGTACATTCATTGACGCTATGTTCTTTGATATCAGCTTTCGAACCTGCCCTTCTAAAATAGTCACCGACTCCACATCATAAGTCAAATTACTGTCCAATTGCACTGTACTGAAATACAAAATATGAGACAGATCCCTGACATACTTCTGGAGCATGGATACATGAAACACTGGATGAACACCCGATTGACTAGGTGGCAAAGCAAGTTTATAAGACATCTCTCCAATCTTCTTAAGTATTTCAAAAGGCCCAATATACCGAGGGCTCAAATTTCCCTTCTTCCCGAACCTCAACACACCCTTCATGGGTGAAACCTTAAGCAGAACCTTCTCCCCAACCATGTAAGCAACATCACGGACCTTCCTGTTGGCATAAATATTCTGTCTAGGTTGCGCCGTGTGAAGACGCTCCTGTATCAATTTAACTTTCTCCAAAGCATCCTGAACCAAGTCAGTACCCAATAGCCTAGTCTCACCCAGCTCAAACCAACCCACCGGAGACAGACACCGTCTCCCATATAAAGCCTCATACGAAGCCATCTGAATGCTCGATTGGTAGCTATTATTGTAAGCAAACTCCGCGAGTGGCAGAAACTAATCCTAAGAACCCCCAAAATCTATAACACAAGCGCGTATAATTTCTTCCAATATATGAATAGTGCGCTCGGACTGTCCGTCCATCTGAGGGTGAAATGTTGTACTCAACTGAACCTGTGTGCCCAATTCCCGTTGCACTGCTCTCCAAAACTGTGATGTAAACTGCGTGCCCCGATCTGAAATGATGGACACTGGCACACCGTGTAGGAGA